ACATACATACATAGAAGAAGAATGGGAACAAATTCTCTCGGAAAGAACTTTTTATAGGCCTAAACTAGAGAAAACTGCCCGTATAACTCAAGTAATCTCTCTTGGAAAACTAGTGAACTAACATAATATTTTGAGAATGCCTAAAATTGCAATAGTTGGCCCATAAGTCTTTAGGGGGTTAGGGACAGCTTCGGACCCCAGGAGCGTCCACAAAGATCTCTCATATGCAGTCTACCTAGACAATTGCTTCACCACTGAGGCCCTAGAGCTCTACTCCATGTTTCTCCTATTAAAGTATATCTTCTTTGTGTTCCATTTGATCTCAGCTGGTCTACTAGGACAATTTCCAATGTGTGAACTTCTTCTAAGAATGAACTGACCACTTCTGAATGTATGAGATTAGACCATACCAGTAGACACAATGCAACTAGTTAGCTCAATTATTGCAGAGTCTCATGATCAGCTTTGATTGAGTGTTTGATAAATCTTAATGATAAGCAGTAGTGTCATGCAAAGACCAACTGAATTCTCAAATTTTTTTGACATCCAGCAAGAAACAAGATATTTAGTAAAATTGTGTATTTGGAGGAATGTCATGACTCTGATCTTGGCAAGTGTCTGTGACTTATCATCATTTCTCTTAGGAACTAAGCAGGGGTATTTAAAAATATGTCACCTATTATTAATTTCTGACTAGAAATAATACGTTTTCACTGTAAAAAATTGGGACATACAGGAAGGAATAAAGAAGAAAATAAAAACTAGCCATATTTCTACTACCCAGATATAATCACTGTTAATATTTTGTTTCATTACAGCTAAATAAAGCATAAAAATCTTTTACAAAAAATTTGGATAATCGTGTATACATATGTGTAGGTGTTTGTATGTAGGTATACATACATGCATACATATTGGGTGTGTGTGTGTATACGTGCATGTGTGTGTGCACACATATATAGTTTTGTTTCTAAGCAGGAAATTTTCAAAGGACTAGTTAAACTTTTGTCCTACTTCTTCTGTCTGAAAGTAGATTATGTCAACAAATGAGATTAAACTCATCTTGATGTGTCTTGCCTTCCAGTTGGATAATGTTATTTTTAAACCAGAAAGCAACTTGGATAATTAAATAATGATAACAGCAACAAACAAGAAAGTCCATCTTCAGATCTTTGTGTAAGCTCCACCGTATCTCTGGATGCATACAAATTAATCAAGGGTTGTGGCTATGTTTAAAAAATGATTTAAGGTTTCTGACCAGCCTGGGCAAAATAGTAAAACCCTGTCTCTACAAAATTTTTTTAAAAAATTAGCCAGGCATGGTGGTGCATGCCTGTAGTTCTAGCTACTAGGAAGGCTGAGGCAGGAGGATTGCTTCAGCCCAGGAGTGCCTGGAGACAGAGCAAGACTCCATGTCTAAAGAAATAATAACAATAATTTAAGCCACAATTTCTTCTCTGGGAGCATTTAAAAATTGGTTGGGAAGAATGATTCACACATTTAAAAATTGGTTGGGAAGAATGATTCATACATATTGAACAATTTGAGAGTAGCAGAAGATAGTCTATGTTTAGGTGGTTAAGAGATGTGAGGTTCAATGACCACAAGTATTTCAAGGGTTCCTGGAGAAAGTGGAGTTTGAAATAAACTTTGGGTTATAGATACAAAAGAAAAAGGGAGGGACTTTTTCTGCTTCTTTAACTGCAGCATGGACAAATGCTTGGGAGCAGGAATAAGCTTGACATTGGAAAAGGCGTGGCTCTAAGCATGTGAGCTACAGTCAGGCAGACATAGGTCTGAGTCTGTCTCTGTTACTTGTTAGATTGATGGCCTTGGCACTTTTCTCTATCTTTTCCTAGGCCTCTGATTCTTTATGTCAAAGCAGGGGAAAGTAGCATCTGCCTCAATGGGCTATTTTAAATATTGAGTGGGAAATGTGTATAAAGTGCTAGGCACAGTACTTTATGCATGTGATGGTTAATACTGAGTGTCAACTTGACTGGATTGAAGGGTACAAAGCATTGATTCTGGGTGTGTCTGTGAGGGTGTTGCCAAAGGAGATTAGCTATTTGAGTCAGTGGGCTGGGAAAAGGCACCCACTCTTACTCTGGGTGGGTACAATATAGTCAGCTGCCAGTATGGCTAGAATATAAGCAGGCAGAAAAATGTGAAAAGAGAGACTGGCCTAGCCTCCCAGCCTACATGGGCTAGTACTGGAAGGCTACCAATGGAATATATATATAAAATATATAGAATATATATATAAAATATATAGAATATATATATTCTATTAGTTCTGTCCCTCTAGATAACCCTAATACAATACAATACTCTCTCTGTATATATGTATATTCCATTAGTTTTGTCCCTCTAGAGAACCCTAACTAATACAATGTATAAGAAGCATTAAAAAAACTACTGGCCAATAATGGTGATAAATAATCATCAAAAATGGCAACTGGTTCATGAGGTGACCTAGAAATGTGGCAATCTATGAGACACTAGTAGGTTGATATTCCAGAAAAAGCTTCTAGAATTCAAAAACAGGAAGTAATAAAGATTTCAGATGGAAGGCCATGCCTCATATATCTCCAGTGTTTCAATCAAGTTACAGAGGTGCCAAATCTGTTCACCTGCTCAGGCAGGCTCTGAGGTGTTCTGCTGATGGGCAACTATCTGGAGTCTTTCAGGGGAAGGCTGCCCACACCCATTTTCTGTTGGTCTAGTGCAAGGATTGACAGATTTTTTTTCTTTTTTCTGTAAAGGACCAGACAGTATATATTTTAGGTTTTGTGGGCCATACAGTCTCTGTTACAGCTCCTCAATCCTGACCTTGTAGTGTGAAAGCAATAGACAGTACATAAATGCCTGGGTGTGGTTATGTTCCAATAAAACCTTATTTATAAAACCAGGTGGCAGATTTGCCCTCATGGGCTACACTTTGCCCACTCCTGGTCTAGAGTTTAACTCTCAGAGAACAATCTGAATTTTTATTAGTTATGGATTTGTTCCACAATACCTAGATTCAAAACACATCATAATATTTTCTTTTTATTTTTTAAAATTAAAATTTCACATTTAAAAGTTTAGATTATAAAACGGTTCAAATATCTTTACATTTTTCTAAATAAAAATTATTCTTGCTTGGGCCATACTCCCCATGGATGGTTACAAATTCAACTTAGTAATGTTTTTCAGGACAAGTCCCTACTCTCCCTGGGGTCATATTAATAACCTATAGCATTTGCATGACTGTAGGGGGTAGTGAGGACTTGACTCTCTTCTTGGTGGTTACCTTTGTTACTATTACCTGAAATCCATGACTGCTTCTTCCACGATGCTCTAACACAGGGCTCTTCTTGCACACTGAAGCTCCGTCATGTCTCTTTTCATGTTAGGCACTTAGTGCCCCGGACCCAGGGACATCCCTCAGCCATCCTCCCTCTGAGGTGTTGGGTTTATCTGCCATTTGTAGGAATCCCCTAAGCTACCCTTTCTGTTATCAGAGAACCTCCCTCTGGTGGTTGTGCCATCCTTTCTTCTGTTTCACATAACTCAAAGCACCAGACTTCAACCATTCCCTTCTGGGACAATGCATCTTCATTTGCCTGATAAGAAGCATCTGATTTCCATCAGCTCAGGGTGGAGGTGGTGAAAGTGATGGTAAGAAAGGCTCAAACTTCTTAGAAACACAATAGTTTGATGAAGTGGGAGTTGGAGAGAGGGTTGCTTCCTTCTGTCCTAATGAATTAACAAGAACAACGTAAAGCAAAACAAAACAAACAGAAGCCACCAGTTAGGTTTTTCTCTGAACTCCCAGGTCTCGGGAGGGGTAGCTCATTGTGGTTTCCAAGTCCTGGCAATCTCCAGAATTGGACTGTATGCCAAGGAAATGCCACAGAAGCTTTCAGGAAACTGTCAGTCTTGTTGGAGAAAGGGAGCTCACACACAAGGCAACTCTTTCACCAAGTGTTACGGGGGAAGGAGTTGTCAGACCCGTGATTAAGGCATAGTCCCAATTCTCAAAGAACTTATAACAAGACATGCACCCAAGACAGTCAAAAGGCTGTACAGTTCAGTGGGTATGTGATTGAATGGGGAGAGACAGCTATGTCTGCCCTGAACTTGGAAAGCTATTCTAAAAACCACCCCAGAAGGGAAATGCAGTTCCTACAGCTGTTCTCAAATTGCCACTTTGCTCTGATGACCTCTTTATGATCTAGAGACAATCTGCCCGAGAGACTTTGCATGTTTTTCACTGAGTAATGTGACAGGTGCTACCACAGTCTGAGAGGACAGAACGGCAGCTGACAAAGGGGCAAAGAATCCACAGCTAGGCTTGCCTTTATCTGTTAGATACTTGTTTTTTTCTGTGGTGGGGGCTGAGGGAGGGGGTGAGGTTGGTCAAGGGATACAACATTTCCATTAGATAGGAAGAACTGAGAGATCTATTGTACAAAATGGTGACTACAGTTAGTAACAATGAATCGTATTCTTGAAAATTGTGAAGAGAATATATTTTAAGTGTCCTCACCAACAAAAAAAAGTTTATGTGAAGTAATACATATGTTAATTAGCTCAACGTAATTCCACAGTATTTACATATTTCAAAGCAACATGTTGTGCATGATAAATATATAAAATTTTTATTTGCCAATTAAAAAATTAAGTTTTAAAAAGAGAAATATATATGATTTTGTTTCATCTCAGCAAGTCCTCTGAGATGCCTGCAAGCCATAAGATGAAAAAGACCCTGTCTGGGCGCGGTGGCTCACACCTGTAATCCCAGCACTTTGGGAGGCCAAGGCGGATGGGTCAGCTGAGGTCAGGACCAGCCTGGCCAACATGGCGAAACACCATCTCTACTAAAAATACAAAAGCTAGCTGGGCAGGGTGGCATGCGTCTGTAATCCTAGCTACTTGGGAGGCTGAGGCGGGAGAATCACTTGAAGCCGGGAGGCAGAGGTTGCAGTGAGCTGAGATAGCGCCACCGTACTCCAGCCTGGGAAACAGAGCAAGACTCTGCCTCGAAAAAAACAAAAAACAACAAAACAAAAACCCAAGAGTCCTACAGGGAGGCAAACATCTTGCTCCTTTTGACACATGGTATAATACTCCCCAACTTGTTAGCTACGTGATTTGGGGCAAGTTAATTAATATCATTGTACGTCTGCTGCAAAAAAAAAAAAAAAAGTATAAAAAGATTCCTCCTTCACAGAGTTGCTCAATTATTAAATTAGTTAATACATATAAATGCACTTAAGAGTATTTCCTAGTACATAATAATTATTTGATAAATACCAACTATTATTATTCTGGCCTTTTCCTTCTCAAATTTATTTCTAATGAATAAACAATCTGTAATAGGGTTGCAGGCCAGCCTCTAATAAATGAAACAGCCTCTAATAAATGAATAGATGAGGCAACCCTTAAAAACTTAAAGGAGGTAATTCTAAGATGTGTTGAAAATAGCATTGTCTTACACAGCAAGTATGAAGCATATGGAACTTACTATCCCAGGAGCTAAGCCAAAAATGCAAATAGACTCAAGGAGAGGTGAAGTAAAATTCTGAGTGGTAGGACTTAAAGTGAGGACATGCCAAACTTCTGAGGGCACAGAAAGCAGCTGCTGTTTCTGTTTTACCCCCTTGGTGCCAGTGTTAGAAAGAGCAGGCTGAATTAAACATGAGCTGGTCTTTAGCAGAAATCTGTTTGGCTAGAGTTTAAAGAAGTGGGTGCTTTGATGGCTGAAGCTTTCTAGAACTCATAGCTGGAGGTCTTTGACCTCTTCATTGTAGGTTAAATCCCACACATACCTGCCCAGAGACAGCGTTCAGTAAGTTTTTTTTAAATTTCATTTTTAAAATTCAAAAATAATAATTGTGCAGATTCATGGAATATATGATGACGTTTTCATACATATATTTTGGAGTGATCTGATTAGGATAATTAGCCTACCTATCATCTCAAACATTTCTCATTTCTTTATGTTGGGAACATTCAATATCCTCCTTCTAGCTGTTTGAAACAATATAGTATTGTTAACTGTAGCTATCCTACAGTGCTACAAAACACTAGAACTTAATCCTTTTATCTAGGTGAAGTTTTGTATCTTTTAACAGAATCTAAGGTTTTGTTGAGTAAAAGAGATTTCCAAACTCTTGGACCCATTCTGACCCCAAGGAAGTGAAAGGAGCCATTTTTCAGGAGTTTGGATGGTGGCAGCAATATTTTTGACAGTCTGGCCCACAGCCATACTAATTTACTAATTCTTCTACTGACATGGCCCTGAGTTGTGAGTTTGTTTGGGTATCAGGGCAAGTATTCCCAGGGCTTGCTTCATGATTGGTCTAAGCAACTGTGTTCATCTCATTCCCCTTTCCAGTAATCGTTTTAGTCATAGTTACATGACCCAATTCTGGCCATGGGGACATGAGGAATTCAGCAGGGAAGCTTTTAGAAAAGATTTTTTCTCTCAGATTTAAAAATAAAAAAATACACGGAAGGAGAAGTTGTTTTAGTCCTTCCTACTTTCAATACTATCATGTGAGGATGTGATTCATGGAACTACTGCAGCTTTCTTGTGAACATGAGGGAAACTAAGAAGTTCAGCCAGAGTCCTGACATTGGTGAGCTACAGAAACAGCTTTAGGTAAGTATTCTTCCGGACTTTGTATGTGAGATTGCTAATTAGCCCTATTGTTTAAGCCAACTTTAGTTGGGTATTCTGCTACTTGCAGCCAAAAGCATCCTAACTGATGTGATTACTATGTGTGTTTTGTTCACCACTAATGCCTAGCACGGGGTCTGGCATATAGCTAGAAGCTCAGTAATTGTTTTTTGAATTAGCGAATGATAGCACTGTTCAATCTTACTGCTGGGTCTACTCTGGCTATGCTCTGGCTCTGGTAGAGAAGTTCTGGAGAGGTCCCAGGAGTCTATCTGATCCTGGGTTACCTGCCTGGAGTCCCAGCACTTGGCTGCTGGGTTTTTTTTGGTTCTTGACAGGTTTTCCAGGATTGGAGTTATGCCCCTGGCCAGTGGTGACTTATAGTTCTCCCTGAGACCAACCTCTGCCCAGACTGTAGAAGGACAACTTGCATATCTTCTGTTGCTGAGTTCCTTCTGGAGAGAAACTACATTGTTACCTTCTGTTGAGCTGCCTTGCCATAGACCTCCTGCCTCGATTGCCAGGTTTGTCTATTCGCATACCTCTGGAAACTGTATTCCTCCTGTGTGCCTGAAGAGCCCAGCCCCCCCATCTGTATCTTGTCCAGGACTGTAAGTGCTCACTGCTCCTGGCAGGTGTGATTTGTTCCCAGCACCCAAACCCTGGTCTAGTTTGGTCTATCACAGACTTCCTGAGCTCTGGAAGGAAGGCTTTCCTCCTGATATACTCAGAAGCCGTTTCTGTCTTATTACCATTATCTGACAGAGTTTGGTCAGATGCTAATGAACAGTGACAACAATTGTTTCTTCTGCAGGCTAGGAAGCCTCACCTGCAATTGTGGAAATGTCAGGCAGAAGTTGAGGTAAAAGAGGAACAAGAAAATTATCTTCTGCCCATTGTACACTTCTAAGATTAAACAAAGAGTCTAAGGCTTTTTGAAACCTGTGTACAAGGACATTTCAACTTCATTGTTTGTAAAATCAAACAAAGTAAACTAATTTTCATTCCTCAGATTTTTGAGAATTCAATATGGTGAAGTTTTTTGGTAAATATGGCCAGCCAAAAAGGAAACCTACTCAAATGCCCACTATGAGTAGAATGGTAATTCAGCTGTGGTATATTTGTCCAATAGAACACTACATCAATGAGAGTGAATGGTCTCCAAACATGTGGATAAGTTTCAAAATATAATACGGAGTTAAAGAAGTCAGATGCATACACAGTGTATGATTCAATTTATTTAAAGTTCAAAACAGGTAAATTTAATGCATGGTATTAAAAATCAGCATGGTGGCTACCCTTGTGGCAATGGGGGCTACTAGAAGGGAACAGAAGATGGGCTTTTGAGATTCTGGTCGTATTCTACTTTTTGATCTCGGAGCTGGTTACACATGGTTAGTTCACAAAAATTCAATAAGCTGTCCACGTATAGTATGAGCACTTCTCTCTCTCTCTCTCTCTTTTAATTTAATATAAATTAAAAGTTAAAAATAATTACATGGCCATGGAAACAAGCCTTGGATCAGAAACAAGCAAAGATTCACAGAATCCTAGTGCCAAAAATGAGCTCCTTCATTTTACAGAGGGGAATACCGAGTGGTCAGGAAGTCCAGTGAATCACCCAAAGTCACACTAAGGAGCCAGAGATCAAGCCAGACATGGAGCCCGTGTCTGATTCTAGCCGAGGGCTCTTTCATTGAGTGGGCATAAAGGAAGTTGGATTGTGGCAAAAAATTTAGTGATGTTTCCTTCTGTGCATCTTTTTTTCCTTTTTGTTAGATGTACTTGAGATACATAGTTTTAGAGAAATGTTTAGGCATAGTTACTTCTAACAAACACTTTTGTTGCTTAATGGGTATATGGAAAACAACACAGATAGACAGGGTCAGAGGTTGCATAGTGCCCTACTCTCAGAAGAACCCTAACCTTGCTTCAATGCTCTGCCATCACCATCTTGAAAGCCTTACCAATTTTTAAACAATGGGCCCAGAACTTTTCATTTTGCACTGAATTCTATAGCTTATGTGGCCAGTCCTACAAATAAATGCTGCATTGTTTGATGAAGAAGGCATACAAGTCAAGTATTTGTAATCAAATCTATTTTAAATGAGCAAGGAGAATTTGTTATTTAAAGATAAATCCTATACAACAACAAATCAGTTTTATACAAGGAGTAATCCCCTAATTTATTTATTTTACCACTAAATTTCAGTACCACCAGTTGACTTAAGAGATCAAATAGAAAGTGAAATAATAAATAAGAATCCTAGAATAGTAGAATTTAAGAACTAAAAAAGGATCCTAGAGATAATCTCATCCATCCTCTATTTTGCAGATGGAGAAAATGAAGTCTAAAGCAAGGGGGTGATTTGCAAAGAAATTTACCATGTAGATAGAAACTAATGAACCTTGAGCAATATCTGAAGTCCAATATCTGAAGACTCAGTGATACTTGAAAATTTCTGGTCAAGTTTCTGGAGCACTTCCTTTTGCCATCCCACAATAAGTCACCTAGGCAGGCCAAAACATTAAACTTTGCTTAATGCAGAATCATTTGCTGGAAAGAAAGCATACAGGGAAATTGATTATATTTTGTGTAAAATAATTACCTTAATGTAGCATGTGCCATATACAATGTTCACTTGTAAGCAGAAATGACTGTCAGAATGGCTCTGCCTCAAACACAGTTTGTTAGCATCAACTTGACCCAACCCGGTATCTTCCAAATGCAGATACTGGCATCAGACAAAGACTCTGGCATGTATCTGGGGCCCTGAGCTTTCATCTCAATTCACCTCTGTTTGTCTTCACTGAATAGATTTAGGCGACTGGGTCATGGCTATGTTCTGCTTTAGAGCAATGGCATTTCTGCAGCCAGAAAAACAAAAGAATGAAGTAAAGTTGCAATTCAAGATGATGAGTGTACAGCATAGATATGCAAAGGGTAGTGGGCTAGTGGGGCTACCTGATGGAGCATGGCAGGACAGTGGGGAGCAAAGAAGGGCTTCATGCAAGAAATGAGTCTTAAAGGATGTGTAGAAGTTAACCTGATGAAGGGCCCAGAAGGAAGATGGCATGGCAAGTAGGGCAAAGAACTCCAGGGGAGAGTATGAATAAAGCCAGCAAAGGGTTTTCAACAAGAAGTTATTGGTGCTTCAGAAAGATTACTGTGGACAATGGCTACAGGAAGGTGGAGGGCAGGATGACAGGCAGTGGTCCAGGTAGACAAAGGTGGGAGTCTGAACTACGATGCCTCTCATCCCTTCTCAGAGAAATAGTCTGGAAACAGTGAGGAGGAAAAATTTTAAGGGCTTAGTCATCTCCAGAGGTGGAAGCTAAGAGAAAAGACCAAGAGGCTCTATTTTGTTGCCCAGGTGGTGTTGGTATTGTAGTTTGGCTGACACAAGCATTGAAGGAGGATAAGATTTAAAGAGAAGACTGAGGAATTCTTGGATATGTGAGTTTCAAGTGCCTATCGACCATTTAGGTGGATAATTTTCACCATTTCAAGCAGAAGCATTGAACTTTTTCTTATTTGCCTGCATATATGTTTATGATAGTTGAATGAGTTCAAAGCTCACATGTGATATAATATGCAATATCACACATCTTCATTTCAAGTGAGCATGCATATCATTAGGTATTCATTTTTAAACCACATCTAAAAATAAGAGAGTAGGGAAGTTAGAATACAATTATATTGCTAGAAGAAGCTGTAATAATCGTGTTCTACGTAAAACAATTTGAGCTCCCTGAGGCTGAGTAGCCCTCCCAAGGTTTCCAGCTATTAAATGGAAGAGTTGGGACTCCAACCCAGTTCGCTATCCCCTGCCTCTTGCTGCTTCATCAAGGTATTGAAGATGGCTGCAATTTACAGTCTAAAGTGTGCTATAGTGTGTTTACCATGCTAACCTCCCATTTGAAAAGAGAGCTTTGAAAAACTTCCTGTCTCCATTTTTGCTTCTCACCTAATCACAGTTTTATTTATTCCTTCAACTTCAGGCCTCAACTTTATCCCCTGCTTGTTTTCAAGTTTCTTTGAGAAGTGCCTTTGAGAAAGTCCTCATGAGCTGACGTTGATTCCATGGTTTCCAGTGAAGTGGGAACCTCACCGAGTACTATCACTCATTGTGGCCTGTTTGCCTTCCTTTACTCTCAGAGTGGGCAGAGTCTTGAACAGCTGGAAGCACAGGGAAAGACAAAGCAGCAAAACATTGGGTCAGGTTTTCCTCCCAATCATACTTTTCAGAGAGAGAGAAACATGATCAGAATCCAAGACAAGCAGGTGTTCAGCATCTACTAAGAGGGCTTTTGAAGCAACTTTAAGGAATAGTTTTTAAATAATTCTGCCTGGGCCTTCAAATCACATCCCATCCTAAATTTTAAGAAGCAAAATTATTACGTGTCATTACAAATGTGATGATTATTAGAGCCAAGGCTTCAATTTACATCAAATGTATGTATATCAAGGGTGCCTCATACCACCCATGTGTCCAGCAGAGTTGTACCCAAATTATAGAAATCAGCACAGAAAATTTCTTTCTAAAATGATTATAGATTTATAGTAGAATATTTGCATGATGGGGCAAGTTTCTCTGCCCCGGACCATCATTGCCTTGCTCGGTACTTTCTTCTGATGGGGAAGGGAGTTTTAAGCATAATGTCGAATCTAAGTTATACTTTGAGAAGTCAATATTGGCAAGATTTTTGGCTGGTTCTGCCAGGCCCAAAGAGTTCATATTGTAGGTCCTGTCCAACGTTGCTCAGTCATAGGTTCTGTTCTTCACTAGTGATACTTCCACCCAAGACCTGGAACAGAAAGCTTACTTCCAAACACTACTTTCTAGACCCACATTACAGATGGAGCAGAGTTTTTCTGAGCCTGACATTGTGCAGACATCTGTTCTGCCGGCCTGCGTGCCTGTCACTCTGCTTCCTGCTTAGGCATCAAAACCTCAACCTTAACAGGCATCTAGGACTTATACCTGGAGGGCTTCACAGCTCTACCTCCCACCTTCTATACTGTCTAAAGACTCCTTTGTTTCTGATTCCTGGAAATTTCCCTTTCTTGTTTGCATGTGTATTAAAGAAAAACTGCTAAGCTCTGAGCATTCAGCCCATTTATTGAATGACCCCAGGCCCACTGGAAATTCAGGCAACCAATTGTGGACTTCTTTGAAACCAGATTTCCCTTTATTACAGAAAAGGAAAGGAAGAATTTACATTCTGCCTCATGGGCCAACCAGAGACCTGAACTCAGAATCTTGCCTTCTGGGTGTATGTCCTTCTTTTTGCCATATCCAAGTTCTTTCCATTTCTGCTTGGAGAGACCTGCTGAAATCACACTTGAGGGAGGCAATGTGACTCTCCCTGACCAGGTACAAAATAAATCCAGCTTTGTTTCACACCATGTTTGGTGGTCTGTTGTTTGTTACTGTCCAACACAAATCTATTTTTAATTTAAAAATATATATGGACATATATATATATAGTTATATATAACTATATAAAAAACTATATCTATCGATATACACACACCAGTCTTTTTGTTTTTTTGGAGCAGTTTATTTGTTTCTTTGGGGATGGGATGGGGGTGGCTTACACATCTTTAAGTCTGTCACCTTGTCTAGAGGTCTGAATAATTTCAGCATTTGCAACGTTGGCTCCCATTGTAATAACTCCACAAAGGTCCTCAAGGTCAGGAGAGCATGGACAAACATAAATGAATAAGGAGGGAACACTAAAAGTGTTTTTCCTTTGTGTAGAAAGGCTGTCAGTGCCCAGGCCAAGGTCACAGCTTTGCTCTTCAACCCAAAGTTGCAGAGGCAGAAGGGCCACTTTCTGTGCAGTCAGGAATCTGGGTTCCTACCATCAGCAGCCATATGGGTTTGGGAACATTCGTCAGCTGGAGAACTCGCTGAGATGGAAAAAGAAACTTTTCACAGGACAGCCCAAAATATTTTTTAAACTTATGGAAAACTGGTAGTGACTTTCTCCATGTGCCAACTGCTGACGTGCATTTTTGTTTAAAGATATACCAGGTAGAAAAATAGTGAAATGTTTCAAGGAATACCTCAGCTGATGAGCGTTGGCTGTTCTGGGGGCTCACAGAGGGCAGTGTAGGGATTGAGGCATACTTTTTGATGTAGAAGAAAAGATTTGGAACAGTACTGACACACAGTAGACATGACATAAACTCAGCTATCATTGTAATATACAGAAGAATGATAAAATCCCACAGGTTCATTTAGCTGAGGCGCTAACAGCAGTAGGTGTCAAGTACTCTCACATTCCAATGTGAGTCACTAAACTAGCTAGAACATTCATGTAGACCATCCATGTTGCAAAGGGAGTGGCTGGAGCCTGGTTCTGCTAGAGTCAGGGAGGTTGAAGATTAAGTAAGGGAGAATAAGTATTTCTTTAGAGAGAATTGTCAGAGGACCGTGGAGTTTCCACTTTCCAGGGAATAGAAGTATTTCTCCATCGCTGTGAACCAAATGAGGAGGATGTGTCAAGCAACTACCCAGAGAGCTTCCCCTGCATCTTCTATAATTTGGGGATATGAGGACATGTGTCCGATACACATCTGGAAAAATCTATAGGTGAGAGGCTGTAGCTAAAGAGACCAGAGCTGAAAAATAGAGGCAGAGGGAGGGAGGTCACTTTTTGGGGGGAAGGTAGGAGACAAAGATATGGAACCCTTGGAAGGGATCTTGCTGTAAGTTGTCTTGAAAAGGACGCTTCCCAAGAGATCATCCTTTCTGAGGTGAGGTGAACAGGGCAGAGAGAAGCTAGAGTACTGCTACATGCAGAAGCTGAGGGTGGAAGGGGAACCGGAAATGGCTGTCAGGGAGCGACAATATCACACCAGGGAATTACAGTTGAAGCCGTCTCCCGTCTACCCTCGTGTGTGTGTAGTGCGTGTTGTATGTGTGTGGTGTGGTGTGTGTGTGGTGTGTGTGGTGTGTGGTGTGTGTGTGGTGTGGTATGTGTGGGATGTGTGGTGTGTGTGGTGTGTGGAGTGTGTGGTGTGTGCGTCTGTAGTGTGTGTGGTGTGTGGTGTGTGGTGTGTGGTGTGTGTGGTGTGTGTGTGGTGTGTGTGGTGTGGTTTGTGTGTAGTGTGTGTGGTATGTGTGTGGTGTGGTGTGTGTGTGGTATGTGTAGTGTGTGGTGTGTGCGTGTGTAATGTGTGGTGTGTGTGGTGTGTGGTATGTGTGGTGTGTGGTGTGTGTGGTGTGTGCGGGGTGTGTGTGTGGTGTGTGTGTGTGATGTGTGTGTGTTGTGTGTGGTGTGTGTGTGGTGTGTGTGGGGGTGGTGTGTGTGTGTGGTGTGTGCATGTGTGGTATGAGTGTGTATGGTGTGTGCATAGTGTGTGTGTGTGGTGTGTGTGTGGGGTGTGTGTGTGGGGTGTGTGTGTGGTGTGTGTGTGGGGTGTGTGTGTGGTGTGTGTGTGGTGTGTGTGGGAGGGTGTGGGGGGTGTGTGTGTGGGGTGTGTGTGTGTGTGTGTGTGTGTGTGTGTGTGTTGGCAGTGTCTCTAGGGAATTTATAACTCAGCGGCAAAAGACTTAGCATTTAGCATTTGGCTATCCCTCCTTCCAGGGGGCATCAGTGCCAGACTCCAATTGTACCCATCAGGAAACGTCTTTTCTGCTCCTTTTCTAGCTTCATCTTACTCCCTGGGGACCCCTGGAGCAGCACTGTGGGTGGAGGTAGGAAGACTATAAGATGTAGAGAAATAATGGTGAAGCCAGCGCTACCCCCACTCCCTTCCACACGGCAGGATTTCAAGCCTGCTTTAGACCTAATGGAGGAGAAGCTTTAAATTAGATGAGAGTTTAAAGTCCACAAAATGGGATTCCAGAGGCAGTTATGAAAGAAATTAGTTTATAGTTATTACACTTTGTCAAGTTCAATTGTCTTAAGTCAGTTCTAGCAGCAGAGCCTGAGATAGGTATTTAAGTGCACAGAATTTATTGAGAGAGTCCTCAGTGCTCTCAGGAGAAACTTGAAGGAGAGAGAGTGAACCAGGATAGGGCAGGGGAAGAGGCTAGGCAAAGATGTGGTCTCAGGTAAAGACTCATCTTGGTCTGATCCACAAGGGACTGTGAAGCATAAATAATACCACAAAGATGTCCCACTTTGTCAGTCAGTTGGGGTGAGGTGGGGATGGAGAGTAACCTCCCGAGTGAGTTAGCTCCCATCAGCCATGGGCAATCCTTCAGACAGGGGGCAAGCTTTGAACTGTTAACAGTGAACACTCAACGCAGCTGAGGGATGGCTGCTCCAGCCCAGTAAAGGGGACCTAGATGGGCACCAACAGTGACTGTTACAACACTTTGTTTCAAAGCCCATTCCGTAGCCTTTTCTTTACAAGAACTTTAGCAGTCCCCTTGAAATATTTTTATGTGCAGTTGATACCTACAGTACAGTCTTAGTCTTGGGAAATGTTCTAAGAAAATATGCATTGAGGAAGAGAAAGTTCCCTGCCCAAATTGTGCCACCACATTGGGCCTGATGTGTAATAGCATACTTCTTTTTGGAATTTGGTGTGTTCATTACAATAATCGTAGTGCAACATAGCACACTCTTAAGATTTCCTCTTTTCTACAATAAAAATCTATGTGAACTAAAATCTTATGCACCCCTAACACTGTGAGTTGCAATACAAGGGCATAAATGGAGGCTGCCTACATACCATATATCCAATTACCTAAAAGGTAAAAACCATGCCAACAAACTGATAGGTAAAATAAGTTGTATCCCACTACATTGACATATATGCCTTCGTAACAACCTGGTCAAGTTTGAGTTCATAATTTTCAGATTCCTTAAAGTTTCATGTTAAAATAAGATGGTGGAGGAGACAGGGTCCTGCCTGTGGCTCACTGACACTGTACTTCCTATCCGTCTTCCATTTTGTTCCGTGAGCACAAGCATATTTGACTGCTTGGACTGCCACGACAAAATGCCATAAACAGGGTGGCTTTAAAAGAGAAATTTATTGTTTCACCTATAAATGACTATTGTCATTTTAAGCCACTAAGTTTTGTGGTGATTTTTAAATGCAGAATTAGATAACTAATAAAGGAGAGAAGTACAACAGAAGGGCCATCCCAGAACCCTCTAAAATGTGGGGCCTAGGACTGGGGCTACTTTTGCTTGGATCTAAAGGCAGTGCTGACTATAGGATATCAATTTTGTTTCTTTAGGGACCCGGAGATTTCCTAGGGAAGGGTGGGTTTATTTACACAAAAGAAAAACCAAAACCAGACAAAGACACAACAACAACAAAAAGAAAACTGAAGGCCAATGTCTCTGACGAACATTGGTGCAAAAATCCTCAACAAAATACTAGCAAACTGAATTCAACAACACAGTAAAAACATTATTCTTCATGACCAAGTGGGATTCATCCCACATATGCAAGGATGGTTCAACATATGCAAATCAATAAATGTGAAACATCTTATCAACAGAATGAAGGACAAAAATCATATGATCGTTTCAATGATGCCGAAAAGGCATTCGATAAAATCCAACATCCCTTCATGATAAAAACTCTCAAAAAAACTGCATATAGAAGGAACAGACCTCAACATGATAAAAAACCATATGCAGTAAACCTATGGCTAGCATCATACTGAGCAGTGAAAAACTGAAAGCCTTTCCTCTAAGATCTGGAACATAACAAGGATGTCCACTTTCACCATTTTTATTCAACATAGTACTAGAAGTCTTAGCCAGAGCAATAGCAATTAGACAACAGGAAAAAAAAAATAAAAGAGCATCCAAATTGGAAAGGAAGAAGTCAAATTATGCTTGTTTGCAGATGATATGATCTTATATTTAGAAAAACCTAAGGACTCCACCAAAAACTATTATAGCTGATAAATAAATTCAGTAAAATTGCAGGATACAAAATCAACTTACAAAAATCAGTAGTATTTCTATATGCCAATAATGATCAATCTGAAAAGCTGAGAAAGTAATCCCAAATTTAGCTACAAATAAAATAAAATCCTTAGGAATAAACTTCATCAAAGAAGTAAAGTATCTCTACAGTGAAAACCATAAAACATTGATGAAAGGAATTAAAGAGGACACAGAAAAAATAAAAAGATATTCCCTGTTCATGAACTGAAAGAATCAATATTGTTAAAATGTAGCTACTACCCAAAGCAATCTACAGATTCAAGGTAATTGCTATCACAATACCAATGATATTCTTCACAGAAATAGAAAAAATAATCCTAAAATTTATATGGAACCACAGAATACCCAGAATAGCCAAACCTATCCTAAGAAAAAAGAACAAAGTTGAAGGAATCACCTTACCTGACTTCTATTATACCCAGAGATATGGTAACCAAAACAGCATGGTGCTAGCATGAAAACAGACATAGAGACCAATGGAACAACAGAGAGAACCCAGGAATAGATCCATGCATTTACAATCAACTCATTTTTTATAAAGGTGCCAAGAACATACATTGAAAAAGCTCAGTCTTTTCAGTAAATGGTGCTGGGAAAACTGAGTATTTATATGCAGAAGAATGAAACTAGACCCCGCTCTCACCATATATAGAAATCAAATACAAATGGATTAAAACTGAAATCTAAGACCTTAAACTGAAGCTACTACAAGAGGATATTGGAGAAACTCTCTGGAACATTGGACTGGGCAAAAATGTTTTGAGTAATGACACACAAGCACAGGCAACCAAAACAAAAATGGACAAATGGGATCACATCAAGTTAAAAAGCTTCTGCACAGCAAAGGAAACAATCAACAAAGTGAAGAGACAACCCCCAGAATGAGTGAAAATATTTGTAATCTACCCATCTGATAGGGGATTAATAACCAGAATATTTAAGCAGCTCAAACAACTCAATAGGAAAAAACAAACAATCCAGTCAAAAAAAAAATGGGAACAAGATTTGAACAGACATTTCTCAAAAGAAGACATACAAATGGCCAATAAGTATATGAAAAAGTTATCAGCATCACTAATCATCAGAGAAATGCAAACCAAAGCCACTATGAGATATCATCTCACAATAGTTAAAATGGCTTGTATCCAAAAGGTAGGCAATAATGAATGCTGGCAAGGATGTGGGGAAAGGGGAACTCTCGTACACTGTTGGTTGGAATGTAAGCCATTGTGGAGAACTGTTTGGATGTTCTCTAAAAAACCAAAAACAGAACTACCATGTGATCTAGAATCCCACTGCTAGGTATAAACCCCCCAAAATAAAGTCAGTATATTGTAGAGATATCTACCCTTCCATGTTTATTGCAGCACTATTCACAATAGCCAAGATTTGGAATCAGTCAGAGTGTCCATTAACAGATGAATGGATAAAGAAAATGTGGCGTGCGTGTGAGTGTGTGTGTGTGTGTGTGTGTGTGTGTATGAAATATTATTCAGCCATAGAAAGAATGAAAGCCTCTCATTTACAACAGCATTCATGGAACTGGAGGACATTATGTTAAGTGAAATAAGCCAGGCACCAAAAGACATATATCACATATTCTCACTCATATGTGGGAACTAAAAAATACATTGAACTCATAGAGAGTAGAATAATGGTTGCCAGAGGTTGGGAAGGGCAGTGGGAAGAGGGGGATAATGAGGGCATGGTTAATGGGCACAAAAATACAGTTATAGAAGGAATAAGATCTAGTGTTCGATAGCACAATGGGGTAACTATAGTTAAAGACAATTTATTGTGTATTTCAAAATAACTAAATGAGTGAAATTGGAATGTTTCTATCACACAGAAACGATACATTCTTGAGGTGATGGATACCCCAATTACCTTTATTTGATCATTATGCATTCTATGTTTGTATCAAAATAGCACATGTACCCCATAAATATGTACAACTAATAGATATCCATAATAATAATAATATTTTTTTTTTAAAAAAAGGAACTTAAAGCACTGATTAGGGTGTTTGAGACCAGGAGACTTTTCTTACCAAAACTATAACAAAAGAGCCTTTTATCTAGAGTACACAAATAAACTAAAATGTAATGAGACATTTATTTGCTTGTTTGTATAAATACACCAAAATATACACATTGGAATAGTCAAAGCAGAAGGCAATTTACTTAAGACAGTGATGCTGTCGGTTAGTTTTCAAAAATGCCTGTGAAACTTCTCTTTCAGAATCACCCATGAAGCTGGATTATGAGCTCCCATGAAACCAGACTCATCACTCAAACTGAGACTTGGTTTGTGACCCCAGACAGCATTTCCCAGCATGATCACCCAACCTACTCAGCAGACTGCTCCAAATGGCTTAGAACTGTTTTCAAAACTCACATCCTCCGTCTGAGGATACATGCTGTCAGGGTTATCTTTCTAAAACACATCTCAGATCATGTGCTTCAGTGGTTCTCAGTTGCATAGATAATTAAGTCTCAACTTCTCAGCCTGATTTTCAAAACTTTATTATACAACTCCCACTCAGCCTTCCAGTTCTGTCATCGACCAGCAGTCTCCCATGAACACACGACGACCTTTCTAGTTACCAATGAAAAGTACCATTTACTGAGCTCTTATTATGTGCCCCACACTGCACTAAGAGCTTTAAACAATATCTCATTTTATCCTTATAGGATTTTGTAGGATAAATATTATCTCTGTAGTACAAATAATAAAACAATGATTGCTAGCTCTTTTTATAGTGCTTACAATGTGCTAAGGCATTGTTCTATAGAAATATGTGTGCCACATATGTAATTTTACATTTTTCGTAGCCACATTAAAAAGTCAAAAGAAATAAGTGAAGCTGATTTTAATAAAATATTTTGTCAGGGAGCTTGTAATTAACATAAGAAATCATTAATGAGATATTCCACATTTTCTTTCTTTTTTTATTTTTTGATACTAAGTCATTAAAATCTGGTGTGTATTTTACACCTATAACATATCTCAATTTGGATGCTAAATTTTCATTGGAAACATTTGAATTCCAATGAAATCAACACAATAAATACTATGTTTATATTTTATAAAATGTACAGTAAAAAAATGTAGATTACATACCCAAGTTGTTATGAACATATCTGCATATCTGGAAGATTTCTAACATCTGAATCAAGTACCAAAAAGTCATTTCCTTTTCTATTCTCATCCAAATTGTTAAAATTGCTTGAATTTAACATTTTTAATTTCACTTTCAATCAATTAAAATAGAGTTAAAATTTTAATTTCTAACGTTGCCCTAGCCACATTTCAAGCCTCAGTAGCCACATGTGGCTGTGGCTGCCGTGCTGGACAGCATAGGTCTAAGCACTTTACTACTGTGAGGTAGGTGCTGTTATTATCTTCACTTCATTCTCAGCAAACTAACAAAAGAACAGAAAACCAAACGCCGCATGTTCTCACCACATTGTTCAAGTGGGAGTTGAACAATGAGAACACATGGACACAGGGAGGGGAACATCACACACCGGGGCTTGTCAGCGGGGGGCTAGGGGAGGGACAGCATTAGGAGAAATACCTAATGTAGATGATGGGTTGATGGTTGCAGCAAACCATCATGGCATGTGTATACCTATGTAACAAACCTACATGTTCTGTACATGTACACCAGAACTTAAAGTATAATTAAAAAAAAAAAGAAAAGAAACAGAGGCACAGAGAGTCGTAATTTGCATTAGTACACTCAGCTGACGAACTGAATTGTTTCATTTGTCAGAATGCTTTCATTTGCTCAGAATGGTTGATTTGTCCAAGGTGACTTTGCTAATAAGGGTTAGAACCAGGAGTTGAACTCAGGATTGTTTATGTTCATAGCCTAAGTTTTTGCTATGGTGCTCATTGCTCTACACATTTAATTGCTCACTATTATCCTAAAATCCTTCATTGATGCTGGTCTTTTTTGTCAGACTGTTACCTCTGTCTGTATTGCCTTGCAAGGTCCATTTTAAGTATCATTCATTCACCCATTTATTCAGTCAGTAAGTTAATTTCTTTTTCCAGCAAATACTGTTAGCCATTTTTCAAATATCTGCCATGTAGACAATAGCTGTGAACAAGGCACACATGGCCTCTGCCCACACATAACTTTTAGTTTAACAGCACTTCTCGAACTTTTAAATCTCCAGACCCTATAACACTCTAAAACTTGTTGAGGACCCCAGAGAGCTTTTGGCTATGTAGGTTATAGCTATCAATATTTATTGTAATAGAAATTAAAACTAGGACATTTTCAAAACATTTATTTATCCATTCATTTAAAGATAACATAATATGGCTGGGTGTTGTGGTTCACACCTGTAATCCCCAGCACTTTGGGAGGCTGAGACAGGCGGATCACTTGAGGCCAGGAGTTTGAGACCAGCCTGAAGAACATGGTGAAACCCCATCTCTACTAAAAAACACAAAAATTAGCCAGGAAGGGTGGTGCACGCCTGTAATCCCAGCTATTTGGGAGGCTGAGGCAGGAGAACCACTTGAATTCGGTAGGCAGAGCAGTGAACTGAGATTGCGCCACTGCACTCCAGTCTGGGTAACAGAACGAGAGTCTGTCTCAAAAAAAAAAAAAAAAAAAAGAAAAAAAGAAAAAAAAGGAACATAACGTAATAAACCCATTATTTGTAAACACAAAGAATATAGAATTATGAAAATATATTTTCCAAGACAACAGTTAATAAGGGGAGTGGCATTGTTTTCTGACTTTGCTAATCTCTTTAATGTGTGACTTAATAAAAGACAGCTGGATTCTCATCTCTGCTTCTGTCTTTAATGTGTTGCAATATGTTGATTTGGTTGAAATATATGAGGAAAATCTGGCCTCAACCAGATATGTAATTAGAAAAGAGAGCAGTGGTCTTAACCCATTTATGCTAGAGGTTGCAAATTTTTGAATTGCAGATATGTGTGAAAAATCAGACCTTGACGATGACCTTGAGCAGTAGGATATAAATAACTCCCACATGCTTAGCGTTCCAATAATGGAACACTAGGCGTAAATGAGTTAATAGGCTCTTAAGTGTGAAAATTGTTTTTTGCTACTATTCCGAAACTCAGCAAGTGATTGTTTATTAAGGTTTAGCTACAATATGGAATCTGAAACCATATCAATTTCATATATTAAAGTTACAAAAATTCCTAGCCTACCTTGCGCATTCAATGGATTTTATTATTATTATTATTTTGAGATGGAGTCTCACTTTGTCACCCAGGCTGGAGTGTAATGGCGTGATCTTGGCTCACTGCAACCTCCACCTCCTGGTTTCAAGAGGTTCTCCTGCCTCAGCCTCCCGAGTAGCTGGGATTACAGGCATGAGCCACCACGCTCGGCCTCAATTGATTTTATATATGCTTTTGTAACATGTATTGTTCATTTGGAAAACATTGATTCACTGAGTTATACAGCTCTTTCAAATGTTGACACATTTCATTATTTATTTAAGAATCACGTTCACAGCCGGGTGTGGTGGCTCATGCCTGTAATCCCAGCACTTTGGGAGGCTGAGGCAGGTGGATCACGAGGTGAGGAGATCGAGACCATCCTGGCTAACACAGTGAAACTCTGTCTCTACTAAAAATACAAAAAATTAGCCAGGCATGGTGGCGGGTGCCTGTAGTACCAGCTACTTGGGAGGCTGACACAGGAGAATCGCTTGTACCCGGGAGGTGGAGGTTGCAGTGAGCCGAGATTGCACCACTGCACTCTGGCCTGGGTGACAGAGTGAGACTCCATCTCAAAAAAAAAAAAAAAAAAAGATCACATTCACTAATATTAGCACAGATCAGATCAGAAAAATCTTCAAGTATCAGGAGGCTGTCAAGCTTGTACAGGCAGGTACAATTTTTCCAAAATTCTGATTTTTATTTGAAGGCTCAAATGTTACCATTGGCAACATATACTGCGAGTTGTTTTTCTTGAAGTAACAGGCTCATTTTGTTCATTTTTGAGAAAATTTCTACCATAGTCAAGTCTAAACAACCATAGTTTGTCTGATGTTCTTTCAAGTAAAAATGGTGCTCCTTGAAGAAAGCATCTAGCTCAGCTCACAAGTCAAACAGTCATCAGGAGCTTTTCCTTGAGAGGACCATTGTGTTTCAATGAGCAGCAAAAATGCTTAATGCATACATTCCCATTGTGTCAAGCAGAATATTAAACGGATACATATTCAAGGGCAGTAATTTAACAAAATTCATCATTTTTAGTGCTTAATCAAGGGCTTTCTTAAGTAAAACTAGCATTTTTTTCTCGTAGTGAAGAAGAATACAATGACTAATAGTAAGTTTATTGCCACTGCCTGTTTTTGCTAATGCACCAGCAGTATTTTCACCCACCATTGCTTTTGCACCATCAGTGAAAATATCAATCCAGTGAAAAAGGTAAATAACATTTTAATATCATAATGAAACTAGTTTTGACCTCACGAATCCCTTGAAATGGTCTCAGGATCCCAGGAATCTAAATGCCACACTTTCAAGACCAGTGGTCTAGAAGGAAAAATAATTGGACAAGTACATGGGTAAGCTTGTTCACTCCAAGGGGTCAAGGAAGGCCTCACGGATAAAGTGATATTTAAGGTTAGACCAGAAATATATGTATCAGTGACCCAAGTGAACAAAGTGCAGGGTAGGAAAGGAGAGTGTCAGGCAGACATAGAGGTGTGTGTAAAAGCTGGAAGAGAGGCAGGCTGCAGGAGCTACAAGAGGCTCATTTGGCTGGGACTTGAAATGTCAAAAGGAGAGCAGTAAGTGATGAGGCCAGAGAGATGGCAAGGCCAGCCAGCAAACAGCCTTGCAAATACATTGAGGGCATCACATCACCTCTGTTTACTCCTGAAAATATTTAACCTGAATTGAATCATGAGGAGACAACCAGACAAATCCAATTTGAGGACATTTTACCAAATAATCTGACTGGACTCTTAAAAAATGTCAAGGTATCAAACGACAGAAAAAAACTGGGAAACTGTTCTAAATTAAAGGAGACTAAGGGAGACATGACATCTAAAAGCATTACATAATTCTTGATTGGATCTTGGATTAAAAAAAAAAACACTGTCTTAGTCCATTTAAGCTACAACAAAGCACCTTAGACTGGGTAACTTATAAACAACACAAATTTATTGCTCACAGTTCTGGAGGCTGGGAGGTCCAATACTAAGGTGCCAGCAGATTTATGTCTGGTGAAGCCTTGCTCCCTGTTTCATTGATGGTACCTTTTGTGTCCTCACATGATGAGGGACAAGACAGTTCCTTTCAACCTCTTTTATAAGAGCACAAATCTTAGTCATGGAGGCTCTACCCTCATGACTTAATCACCTCCTAAAGGCCCCACCTCTTAATACTACCACACTGACAATTAAATTTCAACATATGAATTTAGGGGACACATTCAGACCATAACACCCAACACCACCACCACCACCAATAACTATGAAGGGTATTGTTTTGGGACAATTAGGGAAATATGAATATGGACTACATATTAGATAATGCATATATCAAGGTTACATTTTCCAAATGTGTGGTTGCATTTTGGTTACATAGGAGAATGCCTTTGTTCTAGGGGGATACAATGCTGAAGTATTTAGGGATGAAGTATGATGTCTGTAAGTAGTTTAACTCTCAAATATTCATAAAAAACTATTTGTATGTACATACAGAAACAGAGAGAACAATAAGACAAATGGAGCAGAATGTTAACAATTGATGAAACTTGATGAAAGCCCTAAGGGCATTAACTTTACTACTCTTGCAAATCGTCAGTAGGTTTGAAAATTTTTCAAAATAAAATGTGGGAATATAATGAATTTGGGCCTTATTCTAGAATCAACGGAAGCCACAGAAAGATGGTAGCCAATAATCAGGATTTGTAAATAAGGGATCAAAACCAGATTCAAACAGGAAAGTTACTAACTTGTGATCAGACATGATGGATGATGCTGGTCTCCAGATTTCAGAATCCAGATCCCCTCAGGTCCTACCACTCTGCTCCCAACTTTCCTCTCATTCCTGTTTCTCTGTAACACTTGGCCTCATTCTTTGTAATTACAGACAAGAGTCCTCTGCCAGGGAACAGTGGCCTCAGGAGAGTCTGAGATTGCTTTTTTACTCTCTCTGAACCCTACTTCCACTAATAGATTCTATTTGAGGTTAACCAATTGCCAAGAAAGCATTTTCCATGGTCCTGAGGGGTACACAGGTTGCCCTTTGACCAATCACTGAGGTCACTGATGTGAGCGACAATGATTGCTTCTCTCTGGTCCTGCGCTTGCCCTGTGAATCAGTTTCTCCTTTGAGAAGCAGATGCTAAGAAAGGATTAGATTTACAAGAAATGTATTGGAAATACTAGGAAAGGATAGGCTAGAAGGGAGCGGGAGTAGGTAGGAAGAGCCTTCAGACTGTGATTCAGGCTTGACATTTGGGAAAGAAGAGAGGAAAGGAAGGACTAA